CCTCCCAGCATTTTGTTCTGTTTACTCCACCCACAGGGCCAAGCAGTTTCTTTATTGGCCAATGACCTTCCTCCATCAGGTAAGGGGACAAATAGAGAGGGGAGGGAAATGGAGGAGAGAGAAAGATGCTCCACTTCTCACATCATAGAGATACAGGCTGGGGAGTGGCTCAGGGGCAGAGCACTTGCCTAGCATGGGTGAAGCCCCGGGTACCATCCCACTCCTTCAAAATCAATAACTAATAGAATATAAATGAAAATTACACAGAAATTGAATGAAGCTAGACAAAACTCTCTGGGAGGCTGTATGGAGCCGCATCAATTCAAACTTAAATTGTGGAAAGCAAATGGTACAAAGCCTATGGAAAAAAAAATTACAACATACAGCAAAATAATATTTGTATTTAACCTTAAACCAAGATCTAAATTTCTACATATTTATCAAAAGAAGCACTGAGATATGTGCATAATCATTGCTTCATTACTGGCAATAGCAAAATATTCTTATTTGATGCTCCAAATAAGAAATTGGTCAGGTCAGTTATCATACATGTGCACGCACAGCTGTCAGTGAAGACAAGATTTGTACATTGCAGTTGAGTAATATTCATAAAATATTAAGCAAAGCACATAAGATGTAAATTGTATGCCACCCTTTGCCCAAACATAAGAGGGTGGTTTTTTTGGTTTGTTTGTTTTTCATTTTCTTTTTTTCCAAAAAGAAACATACAAATTATGTTTAAATATGGATGTGAATAGGCTCGAGGAAGCCACCTTGAATATGCTCTCATTCTAAGGATTAAAATGAAAAATCAGTACTAGAGAAAATATTAAGGGAAGCCAAGCATGACACAGACCTTTAATCCCAGCACTCAGGACACAGAGGCAGGTGGATCTCTGCGAATTTGAGCCCAGCCTGGCCTACAGAGTGAGATCCAGGTCAGCCAGGGTTATTACACAGAGAAATCCTGTTTCAAAAAATGAAAGAGAGAGAGAGAGAGAGAGAGAGAGAGAGAGAGTATTAAGGGGCTGGAGAGAAGGCTCAGGGTAAAGAGCACTTGCTGCTCTTGTATAAGATTGAGTGAGACTCCCAGCAGCCACAGTTTACGATCACCTGTAACTCCAGTTCCAGGAGATCCAATGCCCTCTTCTGGCCCATGGCACTGCACACACATGGTGCACATACAGACAAGCAAACACACACAGAGAGAAATAAAAATAAAATAGACTGTATTAAAATACATCTAAGCCATGCATAGTGGTAGATGTCTATAATCCCAGTGTTCAGGAGGCTAAGGTGGGAGGGTTATGGGTTCAAGGCCAGTCTGGGGTATATAATGAGTTCTAGTTCAGCTTTGGCTACATAAAAAACCCTGTCTTTAAAAGAAAAAAAAATCTAAACATTTAACAACAACAGAAAATTCATGAGTCCATAATGACATTAAACAAATACAGATGGGGTGGGGAGCAAATAGGAAGTTCCTCAGAGAAGAAAGCCAATTAATGAATATAGATAAGAGGAAGAAGGCTAGAAATAGAAAATCGCCATTTGAGAGTCACCACAGGAACAATTGAGTCAAGCAGAAATCAGCAGCAGATGGGAACACAGTGGGTACGGACAGCTGGGTGACAGGATGCAAAGAAACATAGCAGTCGTCACCACTGAAGAAGCCACCATAGCCCCGCCAAGGAAGAGACAAACAGATGCCAGGCGACTCCCAATGTGACATGCCAGTCTCCTCCAAAAGGAAACAAAACTGAAAACATAAGCCTGAATATGACGAAGAAACAATACAGCAAGTTGTTTGTATGTGCTGGAAATGTGAGGTGACTCTGGGGAAAGATTTGCCTAGACTTCAAAAATATCAATGTCAAGAGAGACAAGGAAAAAAAAACCAAACCAAACCAAAAGACTGTTAAGCAAAAGCCGAAAGACCTACTGGCTAAAGTCAGGAGATTACCCTTGATTGGATTCCAGGTCTGGAGAATAACAGCCTCTCCAGGGACATCTCAGGAAATCTGAACTTAGGTAATGGTATCAGATTAAATGTCATTCCCAGCATGGATAATTACATCGTTCTGACAGCAGCAGATGCCCTTGCCAGTAGCACGTGTATTATGAAGTGATTGGTGTGAGATTTGCTTTTTTTGGATTTTTGTTTTGGTTTGGTTTTGGTTTTCTGAGACAGGATTTCATGTAACTCAAGGTGACCTCAAACTCATTATGTAGCTAGGGATGGTCTTGAACTTTTCCTGATTCTGATTCTGCTTCCCCCCCTCTCCCAAATGCCAGGATTATAGGTATGTGCCACTCTGCCTGGCGTAGTGTGAAATATAAGATAGATTCACTTATCTTTCAGGTGAGCAAGAGAAACAAAGGGGATGAAGTAAATGTGGCAAAGGACTGGGGAGGAAGGCAAAATGTTTCAAATTAAAAACAAAGACCAGGGCTAGAGAAATGGCTCAGTGGTTAAGGGCACTAACCGCTCTTCCATAGGTCCCAGGTTCAAGTCCCAGCACCCACATGGCAGCTCACAACTGCCTGTAATTCAAGATCTGACACCCTTACACAGACATACACCAATGTGCATAAAATAAAATATTGTTTTTTAGAAAGTGAAGACCACCAGGCGGTGGTGGCATACACTTTTAATTCCAGCACTCGAGAGGCAGAGCAGGCGGATCTCTGTGAATTCGAGGTCAGCCTGGTCTACAAAAGCTAGTTCCAGGACAGGCACCAAAGCTACAGAGAAACCCTGCCTCAAAAAACAAACAAAAAACAAAAAACCAAAAAAGTGAAGACCATTACAGTATCAAAAATATTTCTACAACCAAAGATAATCAAGTCTGTGCTGGTTTTTGTCAACTTGACACACACAGGAGTCACCTAGGAAGGGAGACTTCCGGTGGGGAATTGCCTCCATCAGACTGGCCCATGGGCATGTCTATATGGCACTGTCCTGGTTGATGACTGATGCGGGAGGGCCCAGCCCACTCTGGTGTGCTGATGCCACCCCTGAGCAAGTGGTTGTGAGTTGTATGAGAAAGCAGGCCGAGAGCTGGTGAGATTGCCCAGTAGGTAGAGGTGCCTGCTGACCATCTGAGTTTAATCCCCTGGATCTACAAGGTAGAAGAGAGCCAGCTCCGTCACACACACACACACACACACACACACACACACACACACACACTAAAATGTAATAGAATATTCTATAAGAAAGAAAATGGAGCATGAAGAATAAGCCAGGAAGCTGTTTCCTTCTCGGTCCCACCTCCGCTCTTGCCTCCTGTTGGAGCTCCTGCCTGACTCCCCGAAATGATAGACCGTAAAGTGTAGGATGAAGGGTCTTAACCCTTCCATGTTGTTTTCGCTCAGTTCCCATCATAGCAGCAGAAAGCACAAGAGGACACAGTGCCAATGGAAACCTACGTTTTTCAGACAATTCCATATGGAAGGATGAAGGCAGCATCAAGCGAAAGATTGAAAACCACAAGGGAAAAAAAACTAATAGATTTGAATACAGACAAAATTTAAATAAAATGTCATTACGTTCAAAGCAGAAATAGCCGTGTAAAATGGTACACACCTTTAATCCCAGCACTCAGGAAGCAGAGACAGGCAGATCTCTGTGAATTCAAGGCCAATCTAGGTTACAAAGCCATTTCCTGGACAGCTAGGGCTACACACACACAAACCCTGTCTTGAAAAACAAAAAAACAAAACACAGAAGGAAGGAAGGAAGGAAGGAAGGAGGGAGAAAGGGAGGGAGGGGGGGAGGGAGGGAAGGAGGGAGGGAGGAAGAAAGCAGAAAGAAGGGGCTAGAGAGATGGTGAAACTGAGCACACGTGCCTTAGGAGATTGCTATGAGAACTGAGCTGATATATATGAAAGATTCATAGGGTATAAAGAGCTATATTTGTATTTAGCATCAGGATTGTGTAAGTGTGGAGAAGAATAGACAATGTCAAGTTAATCAGAGAAGACTTTTTCAAAAGCAGGCAATGTCAGAAGAGAACATTGAATGTGGGGACTGTGCCAATAAGTAGGGATAGGACACAGGAACGCCATTTAGAGCGAAGGACAGAGGGGCGTGGGTTCTCCACTAGGGAGAGGCAGTTATGTAAGACCTTTGGGTTCTCTCTGGAGAGATGGCTCAGCATTAAGAGCACTGGCTGCTCTTCCAGCGGTTCTGAGTTCAAGTCTCCATAACCACATGCTGGCTCATAACCATCGGTAATGAGCTCTGGTGCCCTCTTCTGGCCTGCAGGCACAAATGCAGGCAGATCACTGTACATAATAAATAATTTAAAAAAAAAAAAGAGTTCTGGGTTCAGGGAGGCCGTGTCCTGGCTCTGTCTGAAAGCTTCCGGAAGGAAGTGGGTTGAATAAAGATGGAAGAGTACACCTCCCCCACAGCATCCCTTCTGGGCCCTGGTTAGCCCCATGAAAGGTGGGTGGTCAACTGTGAGAAAAGACCCAGAGATATGAACTTGTTTTCTCTCTTGGGACACTCAGTAGAGCTGAATTGGCACCCAGATTTCCTGGTGCCCTCTCCAAACCAAACTGCAAAATGCACACAAACTTCTTACGATGTCTATGATGCCTCTCAGTGTGTCTCCTGATTATAATTTCACTATTGCACAGGGCTCCATTGTAGTCAGAGCTGCATTGTGTTCAGCATAGGGTGCCGTGCAAAAAAAAGAGCCTTAGACACTTTAGGGTGGTGATAACGACTTCAGTATCAACAATTAACCCGTCCCAGAGAACAAATGAGCGTGTGGTGATTGGTGGCCTGTCTCTCCCTTTCGGTGTGCTTCTAGAAAGAAATGAACCCTGTTGCCTTGGCAACTCTGTTTAGAGACCTGATAATTTGAGAATTTTCCAAGCTTGGGGAGGAAAGAAGATCAACAGATATTTAGGCTTTTTCCCATCTAGCTTTGGGGTTTTTTGGAGGGTGAGGGCTCCTCTCCAGCAGGCATTGCCTTCTCATCTCCGCCTACCTGGACATAGCTTCCTTCATATTCAAAGAAAAGAAGTGGCCATGTAATGCTGCTGATGGAGGGGAAGAGCCTCTTTAGAGGGGCCTGAGGAGAAAGAGATAAACGGGGGTGCTGTGTTCCAGAAGGCCTGGGCTGTATCACACCCAGATCTTCTCCCCATTGCTGGACACTCACAGGCAAGGACTGCCCCACGGTGCCGTGCACCAGGGCCTGGGTGTTCGTGGTCTTCTCTCTCACCTGCTCCACCAATGCCTGGACCTCTGCGAGGTTATCTGGATGGGACAGGAGGCATCCGAGTTAAAAGGATGATCTATGACGCTGTTTTTCCTGCCACCCTGGGGTCCTGCCAGGACACTCCCTCTGCCCCTCTCTTTTATGTCAACTTGACCCAAGCCGGAATCATTGGGGGAAAAGGGAACTTCTATGGAGAAAATGCCCCCACCAGAATGGCCTGCGGGCAAGCCTGTGGCACATTTTCTTGATTGATTATTGGTGGGCCCAGCTCACTATGGATGGTGCTGTCCCTGGGCTGGTGGCCTTGAGGGCAATAAGAAAGCAGGCTGGGCAAGTCATGAGGAGCAGACAGTAAGTAGCATTCATCCACGGATTCTGCTCTGGGTCTTGTCTCTAGGATCCTGCCCTGACTTCCCTCAGTGATAGACTTATAAACTGTAAGGCTAAAAAAACAAACAAAAAACCTTCCCTATCCAGGCTGCTGATTTTGGTCATGGTGTTTATCACAACAGCAACCCTAACTAAGACACCCTTCCTCTGACAAGGCACCCTGAGACTCGAAGTGGCAGCCCCTCTAAACCGCTGCTGCTTTCAGCGCCACTGGTCCCATCTTCCTGCTCACCATCCAGGGTGAAAATGAAGACCACAGTGTCAGTTTCCACAAGGGATGGCAGAATGGCAGTCAGGAAGTCCTCCTGGGAGAAAGTGAACTGGGGACTGCGGGGCAGAAGAAGATAGGGGAGCTCCTCCCAGAAGGACGCTCAAGAGCACAGACTTGAAGACCTTAGGGGACCTTAGGGGGACATCTATTACAGTCCTTTGGACTTCACTTGAAAAGAACCAGTGTTCAAAATGGTAGCATTTTACCAAAGGTGACGTAGCAGGTCAGTAGACTAAAGCTGAGTTTTCGAGGGTAAATCCAGAGCCTTCCATACCGCAGCGCTTTGAGGCTCCAGGCTGTTTACCCCCTCGTCCTCCCTCCATCCCAGATCCCATCCTTCTATTGCCCTCTGCACACCCGTGAGTTCTACAGCTTCCCAAGTCCTGTCCTGTTCGGACCTGGTTGGTGAGCTCTGCCTTCTGGTTAAACATGTCATTGTGGTCACCCATGAGAAAGCCATGGACATCTTGGAAATCTGGGAAATTTAAGATGAGAGAGAAAATAACGGTGGGCTTTGGAGGATAGAAAGGTTCTAATCCAAGGGCTGTCATGGGGTCAGGAAGTGGGATGTGGGATGAGCGGTAGTAACCTGAGTGAGAAGCTACAATTAAAGCGCTGGGGTGGGACCTGAGAGATCAAGGACCGAGGTGGCAATTGGGGCTTCAAGTGATGAAAGCATTTGACCGAAATGCCTCTTTATGTAGGGCAGTATGGGCGGGCACTGGAGAACCTCGGTGGGGGCGGGGGTTGTGGGAAAATGCTTTGCTAATGTATCCCAATGGGCTGGGAGAGCATCAGGACTAGGGCCTATCAGAACCAAAGGTGTGGATGCATTCTACCCCATCCATGATGGCGATGATGCCAAGGGTCTGCCAGCCAACTAAGTACACTCGGCCTTTCTTCTCCAGGCTGAGAATGAGTCAGAGGCCAGGACACGAATGACCACCGTGAAAAGAGGCCGCAGAATAACACGAGAGTAAACACACCCAAGACCTTCCAACGTGCGGACCCATCACCCTTGCCACGCTAACACATCTCACAAAGTATCCCCTACTTTCAGGATGCCCTCTGCAAACACACACAGCTATATACCTGGTGCTGACTTGTTTCATCAGGGTGGCAACTTTGGAACTTTGACTGTAGGTCACCTGATGAGCCCACTCAAATGTCCTCAGGATGTCCAGAAGGCATCTGAAAGAAAATTCACTAGCTCCCGAGAAGGGCATGGTGCCCCCCCCAAAAGAGCTAGGTACTCCTACCCACACTTAGGGGATGTCACAATTCCCATTTTTTAAAAGGTTTTGCTAGTCCATTCTGGAGGAAAGCAGGGGAAGGAGGAGGGAGAAAGATCCCCATTAATAAGAGCAGAAAGGATTCTATTTTTAAAAAAGGGCTGCAGTGGGAAAAACAAAAGCCAAGAGGAGGGTGGACTAGAGCATTCTAGAAGCTGGGCCAGAGACTCTGGTAAGGAAAGGAAGTCACAGCAGGCTGGGTTCTAGCCTATGTGAGTCTTAGGAGCTAGGACCTCCCATCTCTTCCCCTGTGTCACCATGGTGTGGATCTGATGCCCAGCTTGTCTGCTTTCTCCATACCTTTGAGAGGCCACAACACCCAGGTCCACAGTCCTATGGGCCGCTAGCAGCAGGGTTTCCAGCAGAATCTTGGTGGCGCTCCTGCCTTTCATCCAGGAAGAGCCACTGAGCCCCTCGGGCTAAGGAGGCAATGACACTAACTGGGAGAAAGAACAACCCAGGAGTCTACCAGTTCTCCAGTTCATGACCCCTGAGCATGGAGAGGTGTCGGTGATCCTTCGGGTGGAGTGTGGTTGCTGATCCCTGGGAACGAGCATGTTTGGGGGTCCCTATTAGACACTCACTCTGATTAGTGAGCCATGAGCGTATCTTTTCCTGGTGGCCTTGACTATGTTTATAAGGATGGGTGCTGTCTCTTGTCAATTGGGTCAAAGATTTTCAGAGAATACTTTTCATTCTTTTTCTTTTGGTTTCTTTCTTTCTTTCTTCCTTCCTTTCTTTCTTTCTTTTTCAAGACAGGGTTTCTCTGTGTAATAGCCTTCACTGTCCTAGAACTCTTTATAGACCAGGCTGGCCTCGAACTCAAAGAGAGTCCCTCTATTTCTGCCTCCTGAGTGCTGGGATTACAGGTGTGAGCCACCACTGCCCAGACAGAGAATATTTTTATTTCTGAGAACCTTCCCCACCATGTTTTATGGTAGTCTGCCATTCCTTAGTATCAGATCTCCCATGCTCTGGACAGACACGTGGAATAGACACTCGGTGGTACAGATTTATAACAGAAGACTAAGGGCTGGAGAGATGGCTCAGGGCTTAACAGTGCTCACTGCTCTTGCAGAAGACCTGAGTTCAGTTCCCAGTACCTACAACTGGGAAGCTCACAGCTGCCTGTAACTCAGCTTCATGGAAAGTAATACCCTCTTCTGGCCTCCATGGTCACCTGCATGCACACACACACACACACACACACACACACACACACACAGAGAGAGAGAGAGAGAGAGAGAGAGAGAGAGAGAGAGAGGCATACCTAAAAAATAATTTAAAAAATAAAGCTCTGGGGCTGGAGAGATGGCTCAGTGGTTAAGAGCATTGCCTGCTCTTCTAAAGGTCCTGAGTTCAATTCCCAGCAACCACATGGTGGCTCACAACCATCTGTAATGAGGTCTGGTGCCCACTTCTGGCCTGCAGACATACACACTGTAGTAGTATGGGGCGGCAGGGCTGCGTCCCCCACACCCGGCCGCCCACATGGCTAGCTTATGCTCCGAAATAACAACACACAAACTGTATTCTTTTAATCACTGCTTGGCCCATTCTCTTCTAGGCTAATTCTCACATATTAATTTAACCCATTTCTAATCATCTGTGTATGGCACCCCAAGGTGCGCTTACCGGGGAGATTCTAGTCTAGTCCATCCTGGGTCGGAGCTTCATCCCGGGAGCGGGGCATGGCATCTCTCTCTCAGGCGTCTGCTCCCGAGAGAGCTGTGGAGTCTCTGACCTCACTTCCTCTTCCTCCCAGTGTTCTGTCCTGTTTTCTCCTCCCACCTATCCTCTAACCAATAAAATGGGCCAGGGCAGTGCCTTTATTAGCCAATGACCTTCCTCCATCATTTCCCTTTTTTTCGGTTTAAACAAAAAAAAAAGGATTTAACATAGCAAAATTACATATAACAAAACAGTTATCAAGTAAAAGTTACAATAATCTTTATCATAACTAAGGAAAACTATAACTATAACTAACTATTCTTAACTCCATCAAAGACTCCAGAAAGATATATTACCTAAGTAAACAAGAACTAAGAAACTTAGTCCTAGAAATGACAAAGACATCTCGCTGCCTGGACAGTCACTCAACGTTCTTTTGTACCGTTGGGGCATCCATTTTCAGCCTTCAGGCCCATGGTATCCAGCAGACATTTCCATAAAGCAGGAAAATTCAAAGTCAGTTCAGTCACTATCTGTTGTGTCCTGCAGAATGTCTCGCAGACTCTTTCAAAATGAATCAGGAACCCCGAAAGATCATCTCACCTTAGGCAAGTTCAGTAGTCCTCTCTCTGCGGGTTCTCTGTGTCCAGTTTATGCAATAGTCCAGGCAAGAGCAGTTTCTTGCCCAAATGGCTATCAAACTCCATAAGGTGCCTCTTCGATGCCCATCTTCCTCTTGAAGTAGATTGGTGCTGCCAGGAGCAGACGTGTCTCATTGTCATGAAAAGTCCTCAGTTATTAAAACATTAAATGTCCTATTCTGTAATCTTTGAAAGACATGAAGAATGTCTATCTAAAATATATCTCTATATATCTAGAAAATCTAACTAACATGACTATAATCTTTACTATTATCGATGATTATCCATTAACAACCTATATTTCTTAATTATACAGTACATATTTAAATGAACTGCACAATCACAATACCTTAATCAAAATCAGAAACACTTATACATATAACAAAATTGACCTTAAATTTCTATCAATAAAGCAAAATCTATACTAATGTAAATTATTCATATCTATATCATATCCCCCTTTAAATGTAAAAGAACATTTATAAACATTTTTTGGGAATATGGGCGCAGTTATCTCTCTCCAAACTGCTTCCTGCTGAATGGGGGCGTCGTTAATTAGGTCTTTCATGGTATAACCTGTGTGCTAGTTTCATCTCAGTTGGCAGTTGAGCGAAGCAATTTTCTGGAGATGTTCACAACAACCCTTCAGGAGGGCGTGGTCCATCATACCAAATCGGGATAAATGCAATCCACAAGGTCTGATCCTCTGTGAAAACAAAAGAAGAATCTCTTTTCCAAAGTATCATATCCTTAGATCCAAACTCCGAAATCACACCCTCATGATATCCGTTCTGGTTCCATTTGGCAGCCCATATAATGAAATGTCTCTCTGTATTTAGCTCCTTCACAGTCCAAAATTTTAAAGAAAACACAATGTACATAATCCAGACTCTCTGTGAATTTTCCATTTTTACGCGGCTTATTTTTACTCTATCACTTTACTTTATTCTGTCTCTTTAAAGACTTTACCTTTTTTTTTAAACCATTAACTTTATTCTCTATATTCTTTTTCTTTTCTCTCCCAAGCCTACGTACATTCATCCAACAGTGTGACTCATTTGGTGGTCTGAATCTGTCCTATTGTGAATCTGCAATTTTTTACTATCCAGGAGCACTTTTGATTTGCGCCTTTAAATCATTAGGCGCTTAAGAATCTAAGCTGTGACATTCCTAGGTTAACTCTTTGCTTTTTGAGCATATATCTTTGACCTGAAGTAACTCTGTAGACCAGGCTGTCTTTGAACTCTCAGAGATCTGCCTGTCTCTGCCTCCCAGGCATTCGGGATTAAAGGTGTACACTACTACACCTTGAACTCACAGAGATCTGTTTGTCTCTGCCTTCTAGGCACTGGGATTAAAGGCGTGTGCTACCACACACAACAACTCTCTTCCTTTTTTTATGTTTTTTACTTTAAGAACTTCAACTTTTAGTCTGCATATATTTTTAACACAATTTAAACCATTCAGAAATTTTCTCTGTCTTTGAATCTCTCTTTACTGTATATCTCTCTTTTTCTGACCACACGAGTCTTTAATTTACCAAGCAATATCAGTAGGATTAAAGGCGTGGCTTTGCAGGCTGGATCCAGTCCATTCCTTAGCTTTCCAGCCTCGTGGCGGATATACAGGCTGTAGCCATGTTTACTGCAACAACTGTATGGCACTTCAAGGTCCCTGCCAGCAAGTGAGCTACAACAGACAACACTCAAGTCCTCTCTTGGTAGCCGGCCCTCCTGCCTCAAACAGTCAGAGTTTGCCCTGGCAGGATGGCCCAGAAAGCCAGCATTTTTAAACGGCGCAGCTTTTTTCCTGCTATGGCTGAAAACCGAAAAGCATGCGTTCAGCTTTTTATCAACACCGTTTAAGTGTTTCGTGGCAGGAACTCTTAATGAGCTGCATGGTTTTGCAGCTAAAGCTGAGTCAGGAAGCCTCTCTTAGATGAGGTGCTTTCTTGCCTCTAGCAGGAAGAGTAGAACCGAGAAATTGCTGCTACCAAGAAACCAGGCACAATGCTTTCATTTTGTTCTATAATTATTTCCCAAGCTGTCTCAGGCTTTATGTGGAAGCAGTTGTCCACGTGGGCGCCATATGAAGTAATAAGGGCAGCGGGGCTGCGTTCCCAGAACCCCGGCCGCCTGCTCGGCTAGCTTATGCCCCAAAATAATTACACGGACACTGTATTCTTTTAATCACTGCTTGGCCCATTCTCTTCTAGGCTAATTCTCACATATTAATTTAACCCATTTCTAATCATCTGTGTATGGCACCCCAAGGTGCGCTTACCGGGGAGATTCTAGTCTAGTCCATCCTGGGTCGGAGCTTCATCCCGGGAGCGGGGCATGGCATCTCTCTCTCAGGCGTCTGCTCCCGAGAGAGCTGTGGAGTCTCTGACCTCACTTCCTCTTCCTCCCAGTGTTCTGTCCTGTTTTCTCCTCCCACCTATCCTCTAACCAATAAAATGGGCCAGGGCAGTGCCTTTATTAGCCAATGACCTTCCTCCATCACACACAGACAGAATATTGTATACATAATAAATAAATAAATAAAAATAAAGCTCTGAAGAAACAAACACCAGCCGGTAGAGTCAGGATGAGACAGGAGATGTGGGACAAGAACAAACTACATACACCATGGAATTTCCCTTCCTATCTCACATGAGGATCAAGGGGAAGGGCTCAGATGTGCCCACTACTGGCAAAGGGAGGTAGGAAGCAAAAATTTTGGTTAAGGAAGAAGTAGGGAGTCAGGCAGTGGTGGCGCACACCTTTAATTCCAGCACTCAGGAGGCAGAGGCAGGTGAATCTCTGGCCTATAGAGCAAGTTCTGGAACAGCTTGAGCTACACAGAGAAGCCACTTCTGCCAAAAAACAAAAACAAAAAACACCCCCCCCCAATTAGTAAAATCGCATTCTGGTTTTTAAAGCCATATTTGACATTTGAATCTGTAGGGGACTAGAAGAGACCTAACAGCGGCTAGTTAGCCGAGGCTGTCTATTCATAGATAGCAAAAGGCCCTTTTGAAAGCGTTCTAGACTCTCTGACCTGTTCTAGCTCTTTTAGACTGTTCTAGTTCTTCTAGACTATTCTAGAGTCTAGAAGTGCTTACTGCTTACAAATCTGAGAAACAGGGTTGAAATAAGATTAAAAAAACATTTTGAGTTAAGAAAAAAAATAGGGCCGGGTGGTGGTGGCGCACGCCTTTAATCCCAGCACTCGGGAGGCAGAGGCAGGCAGATCTCTGTGAGTTCGAGACCAGCCTGGTCTACAAGAGCTAGTTCCAGGACAGGCTCCAAAACCACAGAGAAACCCTGTCTTGAAAAACCAAAAAAAAAAAAAAAAAAAAGAAAAGAAAAGAAGAAAAAAAATAGGACTTCATTGGAAACATGTGAGCTGACATGAAATGCCTTGGGGATTTGTGAACAGGGGCCATAAGATCAAAGATTCCCAGCAAGTGACAAGCAATTCTCGCATGCTTGAAGAGGAGCATGGAGCAAAGAAAGTCTGGCCTACCCCAATGGCAGGATTGAGCACAAAAGCTTCCTGTTTCTCTTGCATCTTCTGCATCTGCTCTGCTACTGGCCGGAATGTTGATCTCCAGTCTTCAATGGGGTCATTTCTGAGGTCCAGAGAAACACGGAAGAGGAAGGACTGCCTGTGAGGATCTGAAGGAAAGGCCTTAGCTGGCAGTTCAGCTCAGTGAGGGAGTGGGGTCAGAGGTCAGCTACTTCACAGAGAAATATTTGGAGCATCTGGGGTGGGGTGTCCCTGAACTCCAAGGATTGGGTTAATAATACCTCCAGCAATGAAGCCAACATTCAAGTTTAAAGTTCCAGCCAGAAGTCAAGGGTCAACACTATCACCTTATATTCCATCTTAGACTCCTTTGAAACCCTTCCCATCCTTTGAATACATCTAGAATCTCCCCGAGGAGTGAACCCCTGCTACCTGATGGAGGAATGCTGGTCCCTAGTGAGATATAAAGTCACGCTATTAACTGTAGCATCTGTTGGTGACTAATCAGGAACAAAGCAATGTGTTAAGGAGACAAGAGAGCTAGTACAGTCTATGTGCTTAGCTACAGACTGTGGAATCTCGAAAGCGTGAGGGTCTTCTGAAGTGGGGGATGATTTGCGATTTGCTCAATGTGGCATGGCCTCAAAGACTGAGCCCACCCTGCACACAGCATCCCTGGTTGTACCTTATCACATCTGACAAGAATCCATCCCTTTTCAAACTGTTTCTTTTATTGTGTGTATATGTGTGTGTAGTGTGGGGTGTGTGTTGGGGTGTGGGGATGTGGAGGGGTGTATGTTCATGTATATGTAGGCACTTGTGTGCAGCTTTACACACACCTGTGTGATGTGGGAGTGTCATATATCAATCTGTTGATTTCATTGGTTAAGCAATAAAGAAACTGCTTGGCCCTGATAGGTTAATACATGGGTGGGAGGAGTAAACAGAACAGAATGCTGGGAGGAAGAGGAAGTGAGCTCAGAGAGACGCCATGCTCCCCTCTCCCGGACAGAGGCGAGTGCTCTGCTCTCTGAGGCACACACGATGAAGCTCCAACCCAGGATGGACATAGGCTAGAATCCTTCCCGGTAAGACCCGTGCTACACAAGTTTTTTAGAGATGGGTTGATCGGGATATCAGAATTAGCCAGTAAGGGCTAGAGCTAATGGGCCAAGCAGTGTTTAAATGAATACAATTTGTGTGTTGTTATTTCGGGGCATAAGCTAGCCAGGCAGCCGGGGTGCTGGGGACGCAGCCCCGCCGCTCCTATTACTACACCTGTGTGTGGAGGTCAGAGTTCAACCTTAACTACCTTCTCCAATTATTCTCCATCTTAATTTTTTGTTTTTGTTTTGTTTTGCTTTTTTGAGACAGGGTTACTTTGTGTTGCTTTGGAGCCTGCTCTGGACCTCGCTCTGTAGACCAGGCTGGCCTCGAACTCACAGAGATCCACCTGCTTCTACCTTCCAAGTGCTGGGATTAAAGGTATGTGCCACCACCGCCTGGCTCCATCTTATCTTTTTTTTTGAGACAAGGTCACTCACTAGACTAGACCTACAAGCCAGCACAGCCAGGAATCCTCCTGCCTCTGCTTCCCTGGCACAGGGATGGCAGGCACACAATAACCCCTTCTGGAACGATTTTACAGATTTTTCTCCTGTGTGAATCCTGAGGCAGACAAGATTCCTCTATTTTATACCCTTTGTGTAAAGTACCTTCTATTGCTGCCCTCAAGTTCATTTCTAACACTTCCTAGAGACCCTAGAGAGAGGAGACCTAAGGAGGGAATAGAGAAAGCACCAACATTGTGCAATAAAAATTAGGATTCCCAGACTTCATTGAACATCAACACCCCGGGATGAGGGGCGAAGAGAATTATGTTTTGCAGTAAACATCCAGTTCTGGACACCACACCTACCCAGAGGTTCAGCCTCAGCAGGTATGCACAGAGCCCTAAACTGTATTTTTTAAAGCTTCAGAGACAGCTCTGAAGATGAGCCAAGACAGGGAGCCACCGCTTTAAGGAACAACTGGAAGAGCTCCACGCCTACATTGTTTGAAATTCTTCATTTCACTTAGTCACAGGGCCTGAAATTAGCACCCGCTGCTGCAGATATATTTTGGGTGAAGAGTCCTCCATGAAAAGGATCCGGGTTAAGAGTATCACAAACTCATTTACACCTTAGTACGAGTCACACTACAAGCCTGGAATCTGGGACTGGGAAGAGAAAGAACCAGGCTCTCCCACTGCAGACCCCCATGGACAGGAAGCCCTCAGGGCCATCAGGTGATCCAATCCAATGGCTTATTCAGTAGAATTGCCCAAACTTGGCTGTGCATTGGAATCAATCACCAAGGACAGTTTAACCAAACAGATATGTCATGGCATTACCCTAAATCAATAAAGAATGACATCTGCACTGTATTGGTTAGCCACATGGAGTATCAGATCAGATCAAGTGGCCATTTGGATAGGACAGCCTGGGCTACATAGCAAAATCTTGACCTCTCCCTCCCCACCCCAAAGAAGGTGGTTCTGCAGCACAGGGCTTCAAGTGGGAGGAGAGGCCAATATGAGCAGTCAGAGAGGAGCAGAAACATGCCTGGATTGATGAAAGAAAGAGCTTGAGACAAAGGAGATGGAAAGAGGAGTGCGTGACCACTGGGGACCCACTGCTACGCTGAAAAGATGCTTGGGGGTCACCCCAGATGGAAGCATAGACTTTTGGGGTATACATGTTCCTGACCCTGTTTTTTCCTTCTAGCTCTTGTCTTTTTTACCTCTTCAATTCCTGCTCTAAATCTGTGGTTTATATAGCTTTTGCTTTTTTGGTTTGTTTTTTTCTTTTGTTTTTTGGTTTTTTTTGGGGGGGTGGTGTTTGTTTGTCTGTTTGTTTTGACACAGAGTTTCTATGTGTAGCCCTGGCTGTCCTGGAACTCCCTCTGTAGTCCAGGTTGGCCTCAAACTCAGAGATGCACCTGCTTCTGCCTCCTGAGTGCTGGGATTAAAGGAATGGGCCACCATTTTGTAAGTGCCTTCCACCCTTTCTGAAACAGGAGAGACCATTTAAAATGGAGCAGCCAACAACTTCAAAAGCTTAGGGATCACTGCATATTTACTTTTACATTCTGAGACTTGGCAAGCAAGACCATAGATCCATCTTCTTGCTGATGATACTCTGGACTATTGACAGAGATTTCTGTCCCCCTCTCCTGACCCCATCCCACAGCCATTCAGCCCCAAAGAAACACACAGAGGTTTGCATTAATTATAAACTGTTTGTCCTAGTAGTCCAGGCTTCTTATTAACTAATTCTTACATCCTACATCTTAACCCACACTACTTGTCTGTGTTAGCCACGTGGCTTGGTACCTTTATCAGTGAGGCATGTCCCTTTGACACGTCCCTTCCCCAGGTTCCCCCAAGGCCTTGCCAGTCCCAGAAGAAGCCTCACTTGGCCATGCTCACCGGATTGAAGCCAACCAGGACTGGCAAGAAGACTGCTGTGTTATCCGTGCAATAGTCCATCTGGCCTGCCACAAAGGGTGCCTGGTGGTAGCAAGAGAGGCAAGCACAATGAAGGGAACGGCTCTGAGTGTTCCCCAAGGTCCACAAGGAACCTGCCCCAGCAGGCTTGCTAGAAATACTAAAGCCTCAGCCAAGACTCGCTGAATCCAAATTTGATGTGGGGAAGCATACGCCTTACAAGTACCCCAAAAGTTGCAGAACTATCCTTTCTCTGGGCTATGATTTCCTTGTATAGTCCAGGCTGGCCTTGAACACACAATCATCCTTCTGCCCCTCCCTCCCGAGTGCTGGGGTTACAAGCAAGAATCGCCCAGCTAGGGCTACTTTTTTCTTATGTTCCTCCACAGAAATCTTCCAGATGGTGAAGTTCAGAAATGACTGATCACAGTTGTAATGGCAATGGCCTCCTTTAGGTCAACGTCCTGTTGAGGTCATCGTCCAACAGCTGGGATCTAACGCTCTGCACTCTGAACTCTTAGAATCAAAACTGTTGTGGGGTTGACAGGAAATCAAACCCGATGTTTCTCATACAAAACATCCTGAGAATCTTGTTAAAATGCAGACTGACCCTTCTGTAGCCTACGATCTAACAAGTCCCCCTTGAGGCTGATGGTGGGATGAAACCAGAAGCCAGACTCTTCTTTGAAGGCTCAGACAGTAAACACTTCAGGCTCTGTGGGCCCTATGATCTCTGTCCAACTACTTAAGCCTAGCACAAAAGAGGCCATGAATTCTAAGTAAACACAAAGACTGTGTGCCAGTAAAATGATCCACAATTTCAGGCGGCTGGCTATGCTGACTGCCAGCAATGCTTGCTGACTCCTGGACTAGTCTGTCCATCTTGGCTCAATACACAGTTATTCTGAGATAGAATTCCTTCCCTCTCTTTTCATATTCATAAAAATAGATCAAATCGGTGAAAATTGAAATAAAATTCCTTGCGTAGGTTTTCTTTTTTCTATACTTTTTTTAAATATTTATTTATTATGTATACAATAATCTGTGTGTCTGCCTGCAGGCCAGAAGAGGGCGCCAGATCTCTCTACAGATGGTTGTGAGCCACCATGTGGTTGCTGGGAATTGAACTCAGGACCTTTGGAAGAGCAGGCAATGCTCTTAACCTCTGAGCCATCTCTCCAGCCCCCTTGCGTAGGTTTTCTATTTCCTGGTACCCACCTCAACATTCTCCTTTCCTTTCTGGTCCCACCCCTTCCTCATAAAGTCGCCCCAACAGCCTGCATTCATACTTACAGAGAGTCCAACAGAAATGCCTATGACAATGACTCTTCTTCCCAGCAGCCACCTAGGAATGGAGGAGGTGTGAGTTAGGATGACAGGGAGCAGGGGGTCTCCTGGAGGAGGTATGAGTTAGGGTGATGGGCAGCAGGGAGTCTCCTGGAGGAGGTGTGAGTTAGGGTGACAGGGAGCAGGGGTTCTCCTGGAGGAGGTGTGAGTTAGGGTGACGAGGAACAGGGGGTCTCCTGGAGGAGGTGTGAGTTAGGGTGACGGGGGGGGGGGAACGGGGGTCTCCTGGAGGAGGTGTGAGTTAGGGTGACGGGGAGCAGGGGGTCTCCTGGAGGAGGTGTGAGTTAGGATGACGGGGAGCAGGGGTTCTCCTGGAGGAGGTGTGAATTAGAGCTACAGGGAGTGAGGAGGACACCAGGGTACAAATCTGTTGCGTGAGAAAAATCAGGACCAGAGGAGGGGCCAGGCCTTGGTTGAGGCTGGGGGTTTTCTAACCCTATGAAAAGGGGCCTCTCTAGTTGAGTAGTATTGGAAAAGACAGACCTTCTTCAGCTCATCAATCCCGTGTAGAGCACTGTCTTCTGTCCTTTCCTGAGAGGCCACGATAGACCTAAGGACGCAGACACAATCAAGGTCAGTGGCGCTGGTCAAGAAGCAGAACCCTATAGCTCGTTAGGAAGGGGCACATGGAGAGAACAGAACAGAGAAAAGTTACTATTGAAAGGGCACCTACTGTTTAGCAGGGACCAAGGTAGATATACCACGGAGTTAAAAAAAACAAAACAAACAACAACAACAACAAAACAAAAACAAACCTCAAATACCTACAAGGCCAGGTAGGTAATAAAAGTCTGTAAAGGAATATAAGATATAAGGCAATGTGGAATGGTGGAGACTGAGGTAGGTTCAATATAATCTTTGACTAAACTCATTCAAATGCAGTTTCTAAAAAAAATAAAATAAAATTGAGGCCACATGCGCAGGTCACTTACCTGTTGCCGCCTGCAATGAGGAATGTGTAAAGAGGCTTTTGTCCCAGGCCTTTCATCAGGTGGTTAAAAGAGACCTGGCCAGGAGGAGAGAGGGTAGGAAGAAGGAATGAGAGAGAGGATGCGCTGTGGAGTCTCAGTTTATAGAGGACTGGGGATGCAAAATGGTCTTTTTAGACCAATACTTGTCCCTAACTTATTTGCAATCTGCCACTTAAAGATGCAGCTTGATTAGTGCTGCGTGCGATGTGGGAATGCTAGGCAGAGGAGGGCCGAGATCTAGTGAGGTCAGAGAAACCGGACTTGCTCCCGGGTTCAGCTTTTGGAAAGGAGGTGGGGAGAGAATATATCTGCGGAGAGAACTTACCTCTAATGAGCTTTATGGTTCTGGGTGATGTCCCCAGAAGGAAAGGAGAAAACAGGGAATTAGCATACTCACAGACACGAGGAATGCCATGCGGCCAGAGGTTCTTCCTCCACTCAGTACTACCAGGCCTCCATCTGGCACCCTGAGGAAGGAAAGAGGCCCAGGTCAGGAAGAATCATACTTTCCTTTCTCCTTTGTCAATGACAGAGGAAGACAGAACTCCTCAATCTTCTCTTCATCATAAAACTGAGCAGGACATAGGCTGTGTGAGGTAGCAAAAAAGAACAATGATTTGGAGAAAGAACTCCTCTTGGCTCGCCTCTCAGACTAAGCTATTCATTAAAATTCTTACTTATTCCAGCAGGGACTTGAGAGCAGTTCTGTCAATTAAATAAAAATAAACAACCAAAGCAGACGCATCCAGCTGTTATTAGCTGGGTACATTCAAGCTAGCTACTGTGAACATCCGTTCTTTGTTTTCTGATCTGAGAAGAGAAAATCTAAAAAAAAGACAATAATGCCAGCGTCACAGATTTCTGTGCAGGCACTGAGTGAGTAAAAGCGCATTGCCAGGGATGGAGAGGTGGCTCAGCGATTAAGACACTGGCTGCCCTTCCAGAGGAACCAGGTTTGATCGCCAGTACCCACATGGCAGCCTCCAGATACCGGCAGCTCAAGTTCCTGATGACCCAACACTTTCTTTGGCCTTCCATGGGCACCAGGTACTCATGTAGTACACAGACATACATACAGGCAAAACAACCATCCTCGTTTAAAAAATAATAACAATAGTAATAATTTTTAAAAGAAAATGTATGCTGGATGGTGGTGGTGCATGCCTTTAATCCCAGCCCTTGGGAGGCAGAGGCAGGCAGAGCTCTGTGAGTTCAAGGCCAGACTGTGAAACTCTGTGAGTTTCAGGACAGTCTGGGCTACACAGAGAAGCCCTGTCTTGAAAAACCAAAAACAAAGCAAAATTAGAAAATGTATTGCTGATGATAAAGTATTCATCTAGCAATTATCATAACTACTATTGATGACCAAGATAATAATAAACATCCAAAGGGAAGACCAAGATAATAAAGAGTTCAGATTTATAAAAATCAGAAACGGAGACCCAAGAAAGAAGACATTAGAGGGAACAGCAGTGTCTGGATGGGAAGCAGGCGAAGAGTTAGTACCTTCAAGACCTCCTGGATTTTTCCAGCCACTTGCAACATGGTGGTCAGAATTGACTCACTGTACAGTCACTGTGGAGAGTGGACAGGAATCAGTAGGAAGAAATGGGAGCTAGGAGGGGAGCATGCGATGGCTCTGTGGAGCCAAGCCTGATGATCTGAGTTCGTTCCTGTGACCCACATGATAAAAGAACAGACTGATTCCCAAAAGTTGTCCTCTGGCCTCCATACATTTCCCCATGGAATAAATCCTCCCACCTCACAAAATAAATGCATAAATAAACAAAAAATGGGGGATGAGAACAAAAGGAAAGAAACAGAGGACAGTGGATTGGAATGGAGGAGGGGGCTCAGGATTTCCAAAATTAGAAACCGTAGTCCGGGAGGGTAGAAGTTGAGATGTGGTTGGCTTAGCATCTCTTTGGCAGTGTCTGAGGTTTGACTGTAGGTCACCTGGTAGGTGGACACTATTTGCCCCTCCTCCTGGAAGAAAGATCTCAGCATCACACTGCCCCAGCAGCTGAACAATTTTCTCTGCATCTGCTTTGTCCAAGTTCCGGGTCAGGGGATTGGACTTCTCTGTGATTGGCACAGCTGCTTCATACCCTGACAACTAGAGAGAAGGGGGCACAAAGTCAGGAACAGGAAGCCTTATGCTTGCTGGGCTGGAGGCAGGAGTGGAAGTAGGCACAGTATCTGGCTTGGATTCACATACTTCACACATACACACACACATACACACACACACGCGCGCGTGCCATTCACATACCAAGAACTTAGTCTTCATGTGACATTCTGAGCCCATTAGGGACGATAGGAAAAGGATGTCTATCATGGGAGGTGTGCCTTTGATTCCAGTATTTGCACAGTGGCAGCAGGGGGATCAGGAGTTTAAGGCTATCCTCAGATACGTAGCAGTTTGAGGCCGGCTTGGGCTATTCCCTATCTTAAAAAGCCAAAAAAGAAGAGGAGGAAGAGGAAAGGAGCAGAAGACCACGCTTGAAACCAGTCCAAATCAGAACTGTTCTAGGAATCAGTGCAGAAGGCTGAAATTGAGAAAGGGCCTCACCTCCCATTCGCCAGGCTCAGGGGTCTCAATCACATGCTGATACCGTTTCGTGCCTCACATGGCCCTGTACTGCAGACACTCCGTCCTTCCTGCCTCTGCAGTCACACAAACCTCTCTGGTGACAATAGCTTTGCTTCCAGCTGCAGGGTCTTATCTGAGCCGTGGAGATGATTAACCTGCGGGCTCTGTGTCTCTGAGCACCACCTCTGCACTCCTCTCTTCAACACCCGCTCCTGTCACTAGTTCCCAGCCCTCCGTGGGAGCTCCCGAGGGTCCTCTTTGCACACCCTCTGTCTTGCCAGCTTCTGCTTTGCTCTTGAACAAGAGGACCAGAAGGGCATTGTGCTTGCCCTTCAGACACAGGACCCTCTGGAAGGCTGGGAGCCTGGATGGGCAGAACAACACCCAGGTCAGAGCAAAGAGAACTCTGGGGCACAAATACCTCTGAAGGCCAGAGATCAGGGTCAGTAGAAGTCAGAGAACCAGGGCCATGGCTTGATCACATGTCAGCATGCAGCCTTTCTATGCCCCACTGGCCCATTTTATCCTCTCCTTGCAGAAAGAAAAGCAACAGAAGCTGCTGGGCCCCAGGTGTACATGCACTGAACTGGATATCACAGAGGAAAACTCACGGAAATAGAAATACTGTAAGAAGAATGAAAACCAAAAAACCTGCCCTAAATACAGCCAGTCTCTTTCCCCCAAATGGTAGGCATCCCCGGATACGTGGACACTTAGGGTCATTGCTGACAGCCTTGTGTTTAGATGGGCTCAGAGGAGTGGTCAGTTGTTTAGTATTACACAGATTTCACACTCAGCTAAACTATGAAATAATTTAAGGACTTACATGCTTCCTGAATGAATTTTGCAACAACTAGCAAGTTGGCGCAAAGGAACAGCACTTCATACACTAGCAGAGGCTTTTAAAGGCCTTTGTCCAGCATTGTCACATTTGATAGTCTAAGCTCTGTTCCAGGATTCTATGCTTTACAGGTGAGAAACCTGAGGCGCAGGTTAATGGATTTCTCTAAAACCGAATGAATTACTCACACACACACACACACACACACACACACACGAGAGAGAGAGAGAGAGAGAGAGAGAGATCTGTTTTTTAATTGTTCCTATATGCCCAGCATTTTTTTTAAGTCATCTCCAGCTCTTCTAAAGGAAGGCACACCGAAGATGCTCAATAAATATTTGCTGAAAAAAAAAATGAAAGAATGAATAAGAAAGCGAATGGAATCCAATCAGATCATGAATGGGAAAGAGACTTAAAGGCTGACGCAGTCTCCAAGAGATTGTTAAAACAATTATCATCTCCACCACTGTCTCCTCTCCTCTCAGCCTCTCAGCCCCCTCCTGCTTTCGGAGATGAAATGCCTCCTCTTAACTTGGCTAATTTCATGCCGGGAAGGAGGGGCTCTTTCAGGTGCCCTAGACCCTCGCATCTGCACCTGTCCGGGTACCCCAGTCTGTTCATCTACTAGAGCCGGGAGGATGAAGAAATAGGGGCCCAGCAGGCCGCCATTGGGAGGGTCGTGGGAGGAGCCCCGAGAGAACAAGGCTGGCGGGTAGGTAATGGGGGGGGGGGGGGGCAGGATGACGGCGACGAGAACCCTAGCGGGGCGGGGCGGACCCACGCGCCCCAGTCGGGCTGCAGCGGAGCGCGCGTGGCCAGCTCTGCAGAAGGAGGCGGCTGGCTGGCCCGGACGGTCACATCCCGCTGCAGGGGACCAGCCTCGGCCGCCGCACTGTCCTCTGCACTGGGGACGCAGGCCAGCTGCCAGGCTTCGTCGGCAACGCCCCCTGCTCAGAGACAGACTACCCGTGGCCCTCGGGAACGCTGGGGGCCCCGCAGACCCGCGGCCCGCGGCCACTCCGCCTCTGCCCTCTCTGCCCGCAGCTCGGCTGGCGCTGCCCGCCTAGGCGGGCCCGCGTCGGGATGGGGTAGGGCCAGCGCCAGTCCGGCGATGGGCCGCCCCCTGGGCACCGAACAACCCCCCGAGGCCTGACCGACCACGAGGACCCGGCAGGTGGGTGTGGGCTGATCCGACTGCGCGGGTGGGGGCTGGGGTGGGCACCAGGGTTATGCGGAGGCGGGAAAGGAGCGGGGAAAATGGGCTATGGGCCGTGGGAAGCCTGGGAGAGCTGCTGCACCTCGCTTGCGTTCTGGACAGCTCCTGACCCTCTCAACTCCTGCCTCTTCCAGGATCCCCGCCTGGATGTTAAGCGGATGCCTCGGGCCCCTCGGCGAACTCGGTGGAAACCATGGCTTCTTTGATGCCTCTTTCCCCATATCTGAGTCCCACGGTCCTCCTGCTGGTCAGCTGTGACCTGGGCTTTGTGCGAGCAGGTGAGTGAAGAGGACGCCCGCAGTGGGGGTCCGTCAGAGCTAGTGTGGAAGTGAAACCTCTTAACCTGTCAACACCCTGGCACCCCCAGACCGACCTCCCTCTCCTGTGAATGTGACGGTCACTCATCTCAGAGCCAACTCGGCCACTGTGTCCTGGGACGTCCCAGAAGGCAACATCGTCATTGGCTACTCCATTTCCCAGCAAGTACGAATCACCCTGTTTCCCCAACCTGTGCCCTTGGTTCTCTGAACACCCCTGCACATTACTCCTTTGGAGTGCTTGGATGTTACAGAATCCCGAGTGTTAAGCCTCATGGTCAGGGACCAGGGCTAGGTTGTTCTTTCTCTACATCTTCTTGCAGCGACAGAATGGCCCTGGGCAGCGTGTAATCAGGGAGGTGAACACCACCACTAGGGCCTGTGCTCTTTGGGGCCTGGCTGAAGACAGTGACTACACCGTGCAGGTCAGGAGCATCGGCCTCCGGGGAGAGAGTCCTCCAGGGCCCCGTGTGCACTTCCGTACTCTCAAGGGTTCTGACAGGCTGCCCTCCAACAGCTCCAGCCCAGGTGAGAGCCTGTGTTAGAAGAGTCTCCAGCTTTTGAACCGGGTTTTAACCTCTCATTGACTTGCTTAACGCTAACAGCATTCTAGCTCAGATGAATAGAAAGATGATATAATTTGTTCTACTGCCAGGGACGGAAAGCAAAACAGGTGGGCAGGGGACCAGCTACAGAGACACTGCTAATGAATCCTTTGGGGGGGAAGGGCTTCCTGCTTCCTTTCACCCAAGCTCACATCACACCTGCCATGGCCTGCATGAGCAATTTCTGTGATCACTCACTGGTATCTAAACATTGCCCACCACAGGCTTCTTCCTGAGAAGGGCGATGATGGGTCCCGCTGACTCTAACCCCCAGCATCCCCCTTCTGTACATAACAGAGCTGTCCAGTGGGTCCTCTGTAACCCAGAGGATGGTTCTCTCCTTAGGAGACATCACAGTGGAGGGTCTGGATGGAGAGCGGCCATTGCAGACCGGGGAAGTGGTCATCATCGTGGTGGTGTTGCTCATGTGGGCTGGTGAGTACCGGATGGGGAGCCAGGGACTTGGGACCATGATAGTGGGAAGTGGTGAAGGTTACCCGTCGGGAGAAAAAGGAGAGAAAAGGAGTGGGGGGGAGGGGAATGGCTGGTGGAGGGAGGTAATCAGGACAAGTTTGAGGAGAAAGAGAGAAGGCTATTGCATGGCCAGGGATGACGGTTGTATGGGCCCCAGGGATTCCAGGATTTTCTAGAAGTCGTGCGGCTGTTACAGCCTCAAGGCTGTGAATGAGAGGTCAAGATCAAGGCTCAGATGGTTTGTTGTGTTTCAGCTGTGATCGGGCTATTCTGCCGTCAGTATGACATCATCAAGGACAACGACTCCAACAACAACCCCAAGGAGAAGGGGAAGGGTCCTGAACAGAGTCCTCAGGGAAGGCCAGTGGGGACAAGACAGGTGACGTGGGGACCAGTGAGTGTGAGAAGGGTGATCTGGGTGCCCAGGAGTATTCAGTGAAAAGCAGAATAGGCAGCGAAGGGGGGTGGGGCGGGAATGGGATGTCCAGAAGGCGGGAGCAGCACCTTTACCTGTCTGAAATTTGAGATTTGGGTAATCTTCTCTCATAGAAAAAGTCTCCTTCTATCAACACCATCGACGTTTGAGTGAACTGAGTGACTGAAGAACCAGAACCAGAAGAGAGATGCACTGATAATGGGGGGTGGGGTCAGGGAAGCCTAAGTTGGTGATCTCTCTGAGACTCCCACAAGGCTGTGCACTCCCAGAATCCCAGGCTGGTACCCATCCTCTTTCCACTGTGAGCAGGGCCAGAAGGTAGGTCTGTTAGAATCTGTACCCCTGGACCTGGGAGTGGATATTAAATGGAACATCTCCTATCCCCCAGGTCCAGGGGAGTCATTTATTCGACTCTATCCCAATAGGTCCCAAATGGGGCCCCATCTCACCTGCATCAGGACCATTGGCATCCACTAGCTGCCCCTACAGCTTGCCTCTGGGCCTCAGAGAGGGCTGTTTCTGTCTGTATTGCCCTCTTCCACGGAGGAAGAGGAAGCAAGCATCTGGGCCTCGAGGCAGATGCCACACTGCACTACTCCAATGTCTTCCACGGAGCCTCAGGTGCTCCCCTCTCACCTGGCAGCCCCTCCCGCTGCTGGTGATCTCACCCCTGGGACATTTTTCCAATAAAGGTTCTTGGACAAACCGGAACTGACTGTATGGTATGCTGAAGGCATCTCTACACCTTCTCAGCTCTCCAAGGGCCCCTCACGCCACCACCAACTTAAAGGAACAGACCCATTATAGGATGTTTGTGTCCGTGTTTTCGTCTAAGACGGGTGAAGAAAAGACAAGGAAAAGGTGCAGAATCTAGAAGCCTCCTTTTTTTGGCTTTGTTGAATTGTGGGGGAGGGGTGCAATGAGAAGACACAGAAGTTTTTGCACCAATGGAAACCAGGCCATGTCACCATAAAAGGGCCAGTAGATTTTCTTTCTTTTATCTTTGTCCAGGACCTTGTGCATACCAGGCAAATGCTCTACCACTGGGTTACATAACCGACCCCCTCCCCATTCTTTCAACTCCACCATTCCCTCTGGGAAAATGGTCAGAAGGACTGAGCAGGGTCATGGGGGGGCTAGTAAAAGAGCA